AGACCCATTTCCCGGTAAGAATGGTCTTGTTTCGCGCTACACCGATGGGAACGACTTTCCAGGTGTTGCGTTCCTCTAATGCCTTCAGCTCCTTGTCCATGGCTTCGCGCCATTTTTCCTTATGCTCCCCCCCCAGAGCCTGTTGAACTGTCGCAGGCTCCTTAGGAATGTTGACGCCGTGGACCGCGGTGACGAGACCAAGGATTTGGAGTCCGCTCTGTGTGTAGCGGGGGAGTGTGGTGTCCTCGGGATAGACTGCTTCGTCTCCAGTTTCTGGATCGGGTGCGAAGTTGGGCCCTATGCGTTCTGCTTCGTTGGTGTTGACTTCAGCAGGTGTAACGTAACCGTTGTCGGCGAAGTGGTAGTAAGTTTCGGCGTTGACGCTTTCGCGAGGGTTTTCTTCGTCCATCGGTACGTCCACTGAGCAGTAGGGAAGAGGTCCGGCTTCTTCCGAGGCTCCTTCCACATTCTGCTCGTCCCAGTCAGCTTCGTCTTCTGTCGAAGCGAAGGCTCGATCGCCACGGAAGCCGCCTGTGGGGTCTCGATTTTCGTCCAGGTTGGCAAGGTACGTTGGCAGTGTGAGTCGTTCGTAGAAAATCACGTCACGTGCTGCTACTGTTTCTTTGCTGTTGATATCGAAGATCTTCCATGCGTTGTAATGTTTTTCGATGCCCAGGTGTAGTCCCCACTGTGCGCGTTGGGAGAATCGGCCGGCTCGTGCAGATGGGGGTCGGTACTGTACCATGCAGCCGAAGACTCGTAACATTTTTGTGCTGCCCAGTTTTCCTGTCCACAGCAGATGCGGTGATGTGTTGTTCGGGAGTGACGACGAAGAAAGCAAGTTGTGCAGCATCACGGCGTGGTCCATTGCTTCGGGCCACTGGTGGTTGGGTAGCCGCATGCCACGTAACAGTTTGCGCATGGTGTTCTGCAGAGTCCTGTTCATCCTTTCTGCTACACCCTGCTGTTGATGGGCGTAGGGAAGGGAGATGAGTCTCTTGATTCCCTTCTCCGCCAGGTACTGCTTGAATCGCTGTGACGAGTATTCTCCTCCTCCGTCTGATTGGAAGCTTTTGAGTTTAGCTCCCGATTCCCGTTCTGCTGCTGGAAGCCATGCCACGAAAGCCTCGAAAGCCATGTCGCGACTTGGTAAGTTTAGGTGCCAGACGTAGCGTGTAGCGGCGTCGATGAAGGTGATGGTGTAGTTATACGCGTTTTGTCCGGGTTCGCGGTTGTACAAGATGTCGCTGTATACTTTCTCGAGTGGTGCATATGCAGGTGCGCTTGGGTTGTGATGCGAAACGAAGGGCTGATGCGGTAAGTCAGCTTCGGGGCAGGTGAAGCATGTTCCTCGAGCTCGCTGAAGTTCTCTGCCGTCTGTTAAAAGCAGAGAGTCCTTGTCGAGTACTCCTGCTCGAATTGTGTTGTTTAACACAGTGTTGCTTGGGTGTCCCATTCTTGCGTGCCAGATTTCTTCGTTGGCGCGATGACCGGGTGAGCGCTGATACATGTCGGAGTTGGAGTAGAGACCGGTGGTGAAGTTGGGACTGTGATGAAATTCTCGTGGTGCTGGCTGAAGCTGTTGTGCAGGTGTTGGTGGTGCATCGTCGTTGAAGAGCGCCGTCGTTGAAGGACCGGCGACTGGTGTCGTCGTTGTCGCTGTTGCTGTTGTTGTCTCTGCTGCTGCCGACGTTGTCTCTGCTGCTGCCGACGTTGTCTCTGCTGCTGCCGACGTTGTCTCTGCTGCTGCCGATTGTTGAATCGCTGCTAATGCTCTTGTTCTCTCTGTTTCAGGAATGGTATGTGAATACCAGAAGCCGCCTGGACTGAAGTCGGGGTCAAGATCCGGAGGGTGTGTCCAGTTGGTAAAGTTGACTATGGCGTCACTGTCAGCGGTGCCGAGATCAGGAACGAAGTCCAAGACGAAGACGTTGTTTTTAAGGATTGCCTTCCCGATGTAAAGACCTCCTCTCCCGTGGTACAGCTTGAATTCTTGGGTAGTGCTGTCTGCTTCGAGGTGGATGCCTTTCGCCATCAACTGACTCACACTGAGAAGGTTGTATCCGAGGCCTTCTGCGATTAAAACTTTGGACATTTGCAGAATGACGTTTGTCTCCCGTGACTGAAGTTGTACAATTCCTTGTCGTCGTGTGTACAGGTTTTGATTATTGGCGACGGTGATGACGACCTCTCGTTGAAGCTGATACTCTCTCTGTACGAAGCGTCCCGAAGAACACATGTGTTGTCCGCAGCAACTGTCCAAGAACCACGTGTCTTTTCCGGATGGCTCGTTTTGGGCGATGGCAGCGTATGTCGGATTTGGTTGAAGTGCTTCGCGACGAGGTGTGGTGTTGTCGAGTTGTTCTTCCGGTGAGTAATGAGGTGGTGAATCCATGACGCAAGAGTCACTTAGTCTTGCCATGCAGCTAACGATGTTTCTTGCTCCTTGCGCAGGTTGTCCCGTTGAGGTTGTTGAAGCTTGGATCTGGGTCGTTGGATTTGCTTGCGTTGACGCAATTTGACTGCTTGAAGGTCGAAGGTGTCGTTGCGGGGTCGTTGACTGTTGACGATTCGGGCAGTGCGTGCGCGGGTGCCCTGAAGTCTTGCAGATGTGACAGAAGGGAGGTACTGGCTTCGGCTGTTGTTGTCTGTTGCTGTAGTTGTTGTGTCGTCGTTGGGTGTGAAATGCGAACTCTGACGTTGTCGTCTTCTTCCTGTGTCGTTCTTCTTGCAGATCCATGTCCTGCTGTTCGGCGTGGATTTCGGCGCAGAGTGCTGCCTCAGAGATTCGTCCGTGGGCTCGGAGGATGGCCTTTGTTGCGCGCCACTGAGGGCCGAGGCCACCGATGATGACCGTCACGAAGGCGTCCTCAGAGATTGATCCTCCACATCGAAGAAGCTTGTCGCGCAGTTCGCGACATCGACTGATATATGCCATTCCTTTCTCTCCTGGTTTCATCTCAACTGTTGTCAGCTGCGCCATTAACCTGCTCTGGTTTACACTGTCTGTTGCTTGATACAGGCTCTTCAGATGGTTGTACGCGAGCTCCGCCGAGTTGCCGAAGGCCCGGTAGGACCGAATGTTCTGCTGTTGGGTTGGTGTTAAGTTCCTCAGTAGGATCGTATACGCCATCATCGATTGATATGTGTACTGCTGCTTCTCATACTGTGTGCCGTTTGCTGGATATTGCAGGGACCCGTCGAAGAAGCCAAGTATCTGCGCGCCCTCCATCATCAACTCGAACTCAAAGGACCAGGTGAAGAAGTCCTTTCCGTCGAATGGTCTTGACGTCTGAAGCTTCAAAACGTGTGCGAATTGCGACTGTACTTGTAACGCGTCCAGTGATTTGTCTTGTGCAGGCGAAGACTGCGGCATGAAGCTGATTGACCCGCGTTCGTACGGGGCGAAGGTAGGTTGCTGCTGTTGATTTCCGCGCGCGTATGACGACCCATCAAGGCTCATGGGTGTCACTCCGTTGTTGCTGTTGTGTGTCTGTGCAGGTCCCGACTGCTGGTGCTGCTCGTAGAAGGACATGAAGGAGAAAAACTTCTCCATCATGCTCTGGTCAAAGCCCGTGGGGCGATTTGTGAGAGTCTCGGTGGACGTTCCCCTAGGTCTTGTTGCTGTGCCTTCCTCTGTCTGCAGGCCAGAGGCAGGAGGTGGTGTAGGAGTAGTCCCCGGGGAGCCATTAGAAGAGCTCCTCTCCTTGTTTGTTGCCATGTCTTGTAATGTCTTTGAATTGAAGAGGTAGAATTTCCCCTGACCGCTCTCATACCATGTTGGGCTGAGATAGCCCCTTAGGATCTTTTCAAGGGAGAACTCTGGGTAGGACAATTGTAATAGCGGAAGCTTTTAGTGAAGTAATTGTGAACCACCTTGCGCTAGTATGTGAGGGCAAAGTAGATTAATTATAACAGGAAAGTACAAGAATATATAGTGGTGTAAGGAATGTCAAAGGATACGGTTATAACTACTTTTACTGTTGCTGTTGCGGTTCGATACAGTACGACTCGGGCAACTGCTCTGTAACGAGTCAGTTGTATGTCCTTAACTGTCGCGCTGTACTTGTCGGGTCAAAGGTCAGCGACCTTTGACCTTCGCGTAACCTCCAGCAGCCTCTTCAACCCCCGAGGGTTGACTCGCGGGTGCTTCGGTGTAGTTTGCCTCGCTTCTGATGCGGTGTTTTCGACACGACTGAAGCGCTTAGGTCTTATTGTTTCCAACAGTAATGATATGACACTGAAAGCTAGCCACCTCGCCTACTTCCTAGCTATCCTCCAAATCCAACCAAACCCATCTCCTCCCCATCCCCCCCTCCCACCTCCCCATCCTTGCCTTATTCATCCTCCTGGTCTCCATCTTAATCCACCTCCTACTCCCAACTCCCCACTCCCTACCCCTCACTCTCTCCCATTGCCATTTCTCCTCTCCCTCCTCTTCATGACCCTCACCATCGCCCCCCTCTCCTTCTTCCCCTTTGCTCCACTCATCCGCCTCCCGCATCCGCACTTCACCTTCATCTTCTTCTGCTGAGCCTCCCACTGCACGCTCTTCCTCGTCCAGGTTCGCTGCACCATGGATCACCACCCTCTGCCTTGCCCCCTTTAAAGGCACATCTGGTTTGCAAACCTTGGCATGACAGCACTGCAACCTTAGCATGACAGCAGTGCAACCTTAGCATGACAGCAGTGCAACCTTAGCATGACAGCACAGCAACCTTAGCATGACAGCAGTGCAACCTTAGCATGACAGCAGTGCAACCTTAGCATGAGCACTGCAACCTTAGCATGACAGCACTGCAACCTTAGCATGACAGCAGTGCAACCTTAGCATGACAGCACTGCAACCTTAGCATGACAGCAGTGCAACCTCAGCCTTCCTCGTCCTCCACATCTCCAATCCCACTCCCCTACCCTGCACTCCCCTGCCCTTCACTCCCCTACCCTTCACTCCCCTGCCCTTCACTCCCCTACCCTTCACTCCCCTACCCTTCGCTCCCCTAATCCTCCCCCATCCACGCTTCCCCTTCATCATCTTCTTCCGAGCCACCCACTGCACGCTCTCCCTCGTCCAGGTTCACTGTACCATGGATCACAACCCTGCGTCTGGACAGCAGCGGGCATCTACTGACAACGCATGCCAGCAGCTTCCCCATCTGCTGCAGGCCCGCGGGTAACTGAGCCAGCCGCTTGCACTCACGCAGGGCCAAGTCCTCCAGTCCGGGCAGCTGCGAAAAAGTTTCGGGCAGGCTGTGGAACTTGGGCAGTGACACCAGAGAGAGTTCTTTCAAAGCAGAGAGCTTCCAGAAGTCATCTGGAAGGCACGAAATTCCGACCTCGCACAAATAACACGACTCCAGTCTGCAGAGATCAGGGAAGGACTCGGGAAGGCTGGTTAGGCCCGGGCTGCTGTCAACAGAAAAAGATTGAAGCTTCTTCAGCTGCCCGAATGACTCGGGCAGAGCAGTTAAGGTCATGGCATCGGTAAGGTATAGGGATGTGAGAGCTGAGAGCTTCCCTATTGTCTCTGGCAGAGCAAGCAGGCTGTCGGCAGAACTGATTGTGAGTGACTGCAAGCGAGAGAGGCGAGAGATGGAATGTGGGAGCAAGCGAAGACGATTCAAGCCGCTGATTTCCAGCGTGGTTAGCGATGGGAAGCAGCCCAGCAATGGACCGAGCTGCTGCAGGGGAAGATTCACAAGCCGAAGGACCTCGAGGGATGGAAGCCACACACCCATGTCACCCTCCTCGGATCCCCCACAGCTGCCAGCGGCACTGCTGCTACCCGTGTGACCGGCTACCTTGAGGTGGGTGATTCTCCCCGCAAGGTCATGCCCGGCAGCTTCTGTGAGTGCATCCCCTAGGTGTGCATCCCCCGTGTGTGCAACCCCTGTGTCCTCATCCTCAAACAGCGACTCCAACGCGCTGCAGCCAAACAGTGTTAGAGACTTCAACCGCTGCACCTGCCACAGTGACCGAGGGAGCGACTTCAGATTGGGCAGATCGCTGAGATGGATTGTTTCAAGCGATCCCAGCCGTCCGATATCCTCTGGCAGCGCCTCGATTCGCGCGCAATTGATGACCACGAGGCTGGTGAGAGTGCAGGCGATGGCAGGGAGGGAGGCGGGCAGGGCGGGCAGGTGCGGCAGGGAGGAAAGATACAGCTCCTTGAGGCTTGTCAAGTGGGAGAACTCGCTTGGTAGCGCGCCTCGTAAGCTGGGTGCACCACAGATTTGTAGGGTTTCGAGGGAGGAGAGGTTGGAGAAGGATGGAGGGAGGTGGGTGAGAGCCCTGGGTTGGAGCAGAATCAGTCTGCGCAGGCTAGACAGACCATCCCCCATGCCCTGTGGTAGCACTGTCAAGTAGCGGCAGTAACTGATTACCAGCAGCTCAAGGGAAGAAAGCAGAGTCAGCGAGTCTGGAAGCTCCGTCAGCAGGCTGCAGAAGGATATTTCCAGCTCCTTGAGGCTTGTCAGGTTGCCAAGCGGCGCGGGCAGGCTGCTGAGCCGCGAAAGCTGAATTAGGCGCAGGACCTTGAGGGCAGTAAGCTGCCCGAATTCTTCGGGCAGAGAATGTAGAGTTTCAGACTTTGAGATTGTGAGCTCTTTGAGCGTGGTGGCAAGGTATACGGAGGGATGCAGCTGTACAGCAATGCTAACATGTAGCTTGAGCGTGCGTAGGCGTGGGAGGAGAGCGACGCCGTCAGGCAGATGGTGGAGTGTCATACCGGCGAGGATAAGATTTGCCAGGGAAGTCAGCTGCCCGAGACTCGCGGGCAGATTTGTGATCCCCCACACATTCTCCGGACGTAGGGTTTCAAGCGCTGGCAGGTTCCCGAACCTCTCGGGCAGCGGTAAAAGGTCTTGGCAGTTGGAAATTTCGAGGGTCAGCAGTGATGTAAGGTTGGAGATGGACTCGGGCAGCTGAAGCCTTGTGGAGCCACTGATGGAAAGTTGCGTCAAGTTGGTAAGCTGCCCGAAAGAATCGGGAATGGAAAAGAGACACTGGCAGCCGATCAGATGGAGCGATTTGAGCAGCCTCAGATTGCCGAAGTTGTGAGGCAGTTCATCCAGGCCGTTCATTTCAATCACGAGATGCTCGAGAGCCTGTAACAAGGTGAACGCTTCTGGAAGGAGAGCGATTCTCCCCCTGTCAGTGATGCGCAGGCTCTTGAGTGACGCAAGGCCGCCGATTGAAGCAGGAATGGCGGTCAGATTTGACTGACAATCAAGACGAAGTCCCTCCAGCCGTGAGCGTTTCTCAAGGAGATACGAAAGCCCGTTCTCAGTGAACCCTCCGCGTCTGTAGCGTCGATCCATTTTATCGACATGGAGATCCGTCAGATCTGGACACGTGTCAGCAATCCCCGAGAGGAGGGAGTCAGGGACGGACGTGATGCTGCCGTTGGCGAGGACGAGCTTTCGAAGCCCTGGGAATGACGAGAGGTGCGCGAGCAGCTCGCGAGGACGTTTGCGACGCTCTTCGCGAAGATGGATGTGCTCGTGGACGCTACGAGCGATGCGATGCCATTTCTTGCACACAAGTGCGTGCTGAAACTGACCGTCGGATGGACCAACGAAATGGAGGATAACGGAGAGAAGATCGTCTGACAGCTGTCCGATCGGTGATGCAGCAGCCATTCCGACTCAATGATAAAATGGGAATAATGTAAGTGCTGGAAGACTAAAATATCGCGACGAGAGTTGGGATGGATGAAATGGCAGAAGTCTCTGCGAGAGAGTCGCTGTGACATGGCAAGGCAATCCCTAGGCTGGCTGGATCCAACCCAATCCCTCGCAATGAACTCTCTGGCAATCAAACCTCTAAGAGCGTGGAACATCCTTTTGAACAAGGCGATGGTCGCCCAACAGCGACAGTAACCATCGTTGCGACCATCGCCATTGACCTACGAAGCAGACTGACGAAGACTGCATGAGCCACGCACGTCCACAGCTCATGCCCGTCGGTCGTCCCACTCGTTGAACCTCGCGGATAAGACAAGAAGCGTCGACGTCAGGAGAAACATGCGAAACGAAACCAGGTGTTGTTGTGAGTGACGTGCTGCAACCCAATTTGCAGCACGGTGTTTGACGAAGCAGGCGCTTTCGTGTATCATCGCGACTTCGTATCTCTCGGCAACCAAGTGTTTCCAACTTGGGATGTGGGGTTTTGCGTGTTACCTGACGAAAACCGTCGCAAATAATTGACGAGACAAATGATCGACCAAAGAGCCGACGGGACACTTGTTCATAAGGATGTTCCACGCTCTAAAGATCAACTGTAGCATTTGAGGAACCGGTGCGCGGGAAAAAAACCGGTGTTACCGTTCTGCATCCATTCTTGACTGACCTTACTTTGTTCACCTTTATGTTGACTCCGCTAAGCGTGTTAACCAATTTGTTTTCGTACGTGCAAAGCAGCACGAAATGTCGAGCGGGTCGAAACGTTCAAGGTCTCGGGGGACTACGAGAAGGCGCATCGCCACCTTGCACACGTGGGGAACCCACTCGCCGTTCAAAGACATAAGAACGTGGACAAATCATGCGAGTGCTTCAACCGTCAAGGCCTTTTCGTCGACGCGATACCACAGCAGAAATGGAAGCAGCCGCTCCTGGCGCTCTGCGATCGTCTGACGGCGCGTCGCGTTTGACCGAAACGTCGCCCACAATACTTGGAAATCAGGCGACGACGCACGAGAAGCCGCAACAGCGGATCGTTCACGTGGTCGATTATAAACGTACGATCCGAGAGGCCGAGCTAGAAGCATCGGACGGCGGAGAGGGCCTGCTAGCGAGGTGGAGGATCCATAGAAGCCGATTGGCTAATAACCGCATCCGGACGAGTAAATACACGCTTCTAACTTTCCTCCCTCGAAACCTAATTGAGCAGTTTCATCGCGTCGCGTATATATAATTCCTCGTGCTAATCTTAATCAACCAGATCCCTCAGCTCGCGATCTTCGGCCGTTACATCTCCGTCATTCCGCTGCTCTCCGTGCTGACGGTAACGGCGATTAAAGACGCCTTCGAGTACTGGCGACGCCACCGCGCCGACGCGCGCGAGAATGGGCCACCGCGGGGGCCAGTGGTGCTCTGCCACGTGGTCGAACATTCGCGTGGGGGAGCTGGTGCATGTACGGGGGGACACGACAGTCCCGTGCGACATCGTGCTTTTGGCATCTAGCGACCCGTCGGGTCGCGCGTTTGTGGAAACAATGAATCTGGACGGCGAGACAAACCTCAAGACGAGGTACAGCGTTTCTGCCGCTCCAAAAAGCACTGTGTCGGCCGCTGGCATAGCAGAGGGCAGTGATGGCATATGCGGTGGTGGCGCTGATGGCACTCCCTCCTTGAACCAGGATCAGAGGCGGCAGCACTCGCAGCAGCAGCCTCAACAGCAGCCCCAGCAGCAGAACGAGGCGCAGAAGCGTAGGAAGAAGCAGCAGCAGTGCAGCAGTCGAGACAGCTGCCTGCAACCACAGCTGCACGGCAGCAGGGGCGTGGCGATGTGTGGGGGGATGGGAGGAGGTGCGGACTACTGGGGTAGAGAGTCAGAGAGAGGGTGAAGGACCACATTCCGCACCACTTTCGAGCAGGTGGGGTGTAGTGTGATGGTGTGAGGGGGGAATGGGAGGTGTGAGGAGGAAAGTAGTGGGGATAGTGGGCAATGGAGTCCCAGAGAGGATGAATGACAACATTCTGCACCACTTCTGAGGAGGTGAGGCGTGGCGATGTGAGGGGGAGAAAAAGGTGAGAGGAGGTGAGGTGTGGTGAATGTGAGGGTGGGGAGTGGGAGGTGAGGAGAGTCAAGGAGATGTCAAGGAGACAGTGAAGGGCATCGTTTTGCACCACTTCCGACGAGGTGGGTGGGGCGCGATGGGAATGGGAGGTGCGAGGAAAGCAGTGGGGGGAATTGTGGAGCATGGAGTGAGCAGATAGTGAAATGCAATATTCTGCACCGACTCCGAGAAGATGGTTGAGGCGCGATGATGTAAGGACGGGAATGGGAGGTGCGAGGAAAGCAGAGGGGTTAGTGGGGCAAAGAATCATGGGATAGTGCCTGGCTGCAGCCTGCATGACACCACTCTCTCCTCTTGACGCGCCTCAAGAACACGGCACCGCTCTCCACCGCATGTGTGGCTTATCTTCTTCCACGCCTCACTCACTTTGCCTTCTCTGGATGCCTCGCCCGCCCCTTTAGAGGTCTGGCTTCGGCAGCCACATCCCTCCATCCATCCCACCCCTCCATCCATCCCCACCCCTCCATCCATCCCCACCCCTCCCTTCAAGCATGTGCCTGCCCCACACCTCTAAAGGCTCATTCTCCTCATGAGGAACCTCCACGTCTCACTTGCACCACTCAACTTGCACCATCTAGTGGTTCTTTCTTTCCCTTCACTGCCTCCTCTGCCGCTTATCCAATCCCCACCTATCACCATCCCCGTCCCACCATCGCACCAGCGTGTGGCTTGTACCACATGAGCATCTTCCATGTCGCACACCATCTCTCGCCCGTACCTGCCACCGCCGAACAGGTATGGCCAAACAGGGATATGACCAAGCAGGTATGGCCAAGCAGGTATGACCAAGCAGGTACGGCCAAACAGGTACGGCCAAACAGGTACGGCCAAACAGGTACGGCCAAACAGGTATGGCCAAACAGGTACGGCCAAAGAGGAATGGCTAAACAGGTATGGCCAAACAGGTATGGCAAAACAGGTATGGCCAAACAGGTATGGCCAAACAAGTTTGGGCAAGAAGTTTTGTTGCAGCTGCAGCACTCCGCACATTACCCATCCCAGTCTTGTGCGTTTTGCATGATATGATAACCCATCGCGCATCTTCATGCTTCATCCACCCACCCCAGTGGGGAATGCTGCTGAGTGGTCCTCTCTGCACCGCCTATTTCACCTGTCGCAGTGTACCTCTCTTCGCACCCCCCTTCCGACCCTTCCTATTCCGCCCCCCCCTCTTCCCACCTCACCCGCTTCTTGCGCACCCTCTCTACTCTCCAACTCTGCTCTGCCCCTCTCCTCTCCCTCCGCACTGCCAGCTAGCAGACGAGGTTTGGGTAGTGAAGGGCGTGAGCAAGCAAGCGACTGCCCCCTCTTTGTCACTGTCAACCTCGCGACTTCTGCTTTTCCCCTCCTCCTGCCCTTGCTCCTCCTTCTCTCCCCTTCCTTTCGTCCAACCATCCTCCCCCCATCATACCAGCTAGCTGACGAGGTGCGATCGGTGAAGCACGCGAGCAAGTGCCTGTGCCTGCCTTTCCAAGCGTCAACCCCACGCCCTCTCCCCTGTGCTCCCCTGTGCTCCCCACGCATCCACACGCATCTTAACAGACCAGGTGCGGCCGGTGAAGGGTGTGAGCGAGCGCCTGTGCCCGTTCTGCGTCTCTCTGACCCGGGTCATTCTCACCGCTTCTGGCGTGCTGCTCGCCTGCTGGCAGATGAATCATTGCGCGTTACCCCTTGTGACTGCTGCTCTTTGAGAATCATGTGGGAGGGAACTAGCTAAAGGAGGCTCTGCCCCGCGCTCCAAAGCGGGTGGCCTCCTGCCTCCCTGCTTCCCCTCCTGCTGCTGCTCCTCGTGTGCTCTGTGTGTTTTGAGTCGACTCAGAACGTAGAGGCGAGCTGAGAGCGGGCTGCGGGGTGGGCAGAGGAAATGGACTCTGTCTGGCAGCACTACTCCAGCTCACCCACTGCCAGTGCCTTGCTCTGTGTTGTCTGGCAGCACTACTCCAGCTCACCCACTGCCAGTGCCTTGCTCTGTGTTGTCTGGCAGCACTACTCCAGCTCACCCACTGCCAGTGCCTTGCTCTGTGTTGTCTGGCAGCACTACTCCAGCTCACCCACTGCCAGTGCCTTGCTCTGTGTTGTCTGGCAGCACTACTCCAGCTCACCCACTGCCAGTGCCTTGCTCTGTGTTGTCTGGCAGCACTACTCCAGCTCACCCACTGCCAGTGCCTTGCTCTGTGTTGTCTGGCAGCACTACTCCAGCTCACCCACTGCCAGTGCCTTGCTCTGTGTTGTCTGGCAGCACTACTCCAGCTCACCCACTGCCAGTGCCTTGCTCTGTGTTGTCTGGCAGCACTACTCCAGCTCACCCACTGCCAGTGCCTTGCTCTGTGTTGTCTGGCAGCACTACTCCAGCTCACCCACTGCCAGTGCCTTGCTCTGTGTTGTCTGGCAGCACTACTCCAGCTCACCCACTGCCAGTGCCTTGCTCTGTGTTGTCTGGCAGCACTACTCCAGCTCACCCACTGCCAGTGCCTTGCTCTGTGTTGTCTGGCAGCACTACTCCAGCTCACCCACTGCCAGTGCCTTGCTCT